CCGTCGGCGGAGGAGCAGCCCCAGCGCCAGGCCTCCCGACGGCCCCGGGCAGCCGGCCCAGGCCGCGAAGCCCCCGTCGCCCGTGCAGGGCAAGAAGAGCCCGCGGCTCCAGTGAGTACACGCAGGGTTTGGAGACGGTGGGGAGAGACCCCCCGGTGCCCGCACGCAGCCCTCCCGGCTCCCGTAGCGCCCGCTCCACGTGACGCCCGCGCGCCCTGCCCCCTGCCGGAGCCGCACGCCAGATGTCACGCCCGCACCCCGGCCTCCCCCCTCCCCGCTCCCCCACCCCGGGGTGGGGAGCACCCCTTCCTCCGCTGCCTGCCGCCCCGGCCCTCCGCTGGCATCTGCGCCCCCTTTGTCAGCCCGTCCCTCTCCCCGGGGCGCCCTCCAGTGTGACATCACAGCCCCCCCCCCGTTAGGACGGGGCTAGCTCGGTCCCTGCCGCAGGGCTGCGTGTCCCCCCCCCTTCCCGCCACTCCCCCCCCCGCCCACCCGCCAAGTCCCCTAGTTGCCCGGGTGCTCCTGTGTGCGCGTGTGCGTGTGCGCGTGTGTGTAGTTCCAGGGTTCTCCAGACTCCCCTCGTTTTCATTCTTTTAGTTGGGGGATAAACTGCAGCTCTCTGCCCATCTTAAGTACAGCATATTTTATGTAAATAAGTGACGTTTATTTATTACGTAAATATACTGTATATTTATGTTTATTATATAAATAAGGCCTTTGGTTGTTTTTTTTTTACCAACTACTGCGTATGTATTCTTTCGGCTTTTTTTTTTTTTTACCTCTGTTAATGTAGAAACTTCATCTGATAGGAACTGTTCTAGAAGTAATATAGGAATTGTGGACAGAAAGCCTTTTAAAACTATGTTCACAGGTTAAGAATACCGAAGCACACACGTTTGCAAATTGCAGAAATTACTAACATTAACTGTTGAGTTCATTACTGAAAACTTTTTTTTTTTCGTAAGTGAAAATACTTAGTCAGAGAAGGAAAATTGAAGGAGCGGGGTGCTGATTTTAGATGCCACCATTCTGACAGTAGGCTTAGCTCCTTTCTGAACCCAGAGTGTTTTTAAAGCTTAAAACAGACCTTCCAGAATTAGGAGTTAAGTCTGTGATCTAGATATTTAAAAGACCTCTGGAAAGAGATTTCACATGACCTTCTGAGTTTTGACAGTGACTTAAAATGTACAGCATTTACTGTATGAACTTTCCTACTTTGTTCTGTAACAAATTCTTAAGAAAATTTTCAGTTGAAGAACTGTAATTGCTGCAGCTAGAGGGTTTTTTATGTTCCCAAAGATTTTATACTTCTGCATTTAATCTTCTACACTATAAATCTTCTACACCAATCTTAGATATAAATGTCTCAACCTACCAATGTCTCCATTTTCTTCCCTATAGGGAATTAGATGTGAAGCAATGACCTGTCTGACCTCTGTTTATGTAAATTAAGTAGCAAGTGAACTACTTGTTCCTGCCATGAAGTAAATACTAAGTAAAACTTGGTTCTTTGAATAATGGTGACCTGGCAGATGAATGAATGATTTGTAGTGCTGGGTTTTCTTCCGTGTCAATCCTGTGAAAAAGCATTTTTTTTGTTTTTTTTTTTGAGATTTAAATGCCTGCATTTTGAGGTAATTATACTTGAGTAGTAGTTTTCCCTGTTTTGGCTATTTTTTCGCCTAACTTGGCAAAAAGACCCAATGAAGGCTTTTATTTTTGGTGGATGATGGAAGTGGTACTGGCAATTGAGATCAAACTCCGTAAGTTTCGGAGTTTGATCTCAACTATAGTCATAGGCCTGGAACCACTGTGCATGTGCCACCACCCACCCCCATCACACCTGTAATCCTAGCTACCCAAGAGGCTTTGATCTGAGAATCATGCTTCAAAGCCATGTGATACTTATCTACATTTACCTACCAAAAAGTGGGAAGTGGAGAGCTGTGGCTCAAATGTTAAGAGTGCTGGCCTTGAGCAAAAAAGCTTAGGGACAGCACCCAGATCCTGTGTTCAAGCTCCAGGACAGGCACCAGTATATAATACTTACATATATATATATATATATATAACATATATATATATATATATATATCTGTTATTTGATCCCTTAATTATATTCTACAAGAAATGTGGTAATGTTGGTATAGTCGTTTTAGGGTACTTGAAACATTCCTGCTTTTTGCTGGAATAGAAACCATGAAACTGTCAAACTAAGATTAGGTTAAAGTACCAAATAGCTTCATTTCATTCATTCTTTTTATTCACTGTTATAATGTCCTGTGTGTTTCCTATTTTAAAACTCAAACAATACTTTTTTTTTTTTTTGGAAACAACGTAGCTGGTGGCTAACCTATTAGCCAATACTTGGGTCTTTTTAAAAGTCTTCCTTTGGGTTCAGATGAATTTTACAGATGAAACAAAGTATTGTTCTACTTATTTTCTGGTGGCTTGAATTCACTTTTGTTTTGCTGAAAGCAAAATGCTAAACCATTGAATAGAATGAAGAGCCACTGATACTCTGAATCAAGAAAACTAAAATCCTAGAGAATGTCAGTTGTACTGACTGCAGTCCTGTGGTCAGGCTCCTAGAGTCAGCGGCAGAGTAGTAAACACAACCATTCTAAAGCGTTGGGGGTTTGTTTTGTTTTTTCTAAAATATCTAGCAATAACTTTCTTTTTCACTTCCAGCTAGCTTGTTTCCTTGTGTTCATTGGAATGTTTGTAATAAAATTTTAAATTATACCAATCTTTAAAAATGTGGAGCAAAGGGGCTGGGAAGGTGGCTCAGTGGCAGAGTGCTTGCCTTGCATGCCTGAGGCCCTGGGTTTGATTCCTCAGCACCACATAAGCAAAAAGAAAAAAGCCGGAAGTGGTGCTGTGGCTCAAGTGGTAGAGCGCTAGCCTTGAGCTGAAGAGCTGAGGGCCCAGGCCCAGAGTTCAGGCCCCACAACCAGACCCCCCCAAAAAAAAATGTGGAGCAAAAATGATTACTATTTTTTACACAGTTTTCAGTTGTATTAAGCTTATTTGCAAAAAGGAAAATGAAAATCTGTTCTGCCCAGATAATACTGTATACTATCTTTTTGATAAAATCCCAAAGCTTAGTTATTTCTAAAGTTGGATACTTTAGTGGAGTTCACTGTACTGTACTTACCAGTTATGTATTAGATTGTAAAGTACAACTTTATTTGTGATACAGAATTTAGATATAGACTTCTTTTTGTTTGGTTTCTTGGTGGTTCTAAGTTTTGAACTCAGGGGTTCATGCTTTCATGACTGACCTTCTACTACAAGATCCTTACCCCAGCCATTTTTTTGTTTTGGTTATTTATGGGGGTATAGTCTGGCATTTTTGCCTAGAACCAACCTTGGTCTCAGACCACAATCCTCTTACCTTTGCACTGGTTAAATTAGGTGTGTACCACAACATCTGATGTACCGATAAAGATATGGGCTCCCTGACATTTTGCCTGGGCTAACCTCAATCTGCAAGCTTGAGCCACCACACCTGTCTTTGATTTTGACAAACAGTTTTTAGGTTGTCTGATTAAGGTTTATATCCAGTTTTTATTAAAGTAAAATAGTATAATAAGCCAGATCCTGAGCTTGCAGAGATTTTGTGGTATTTGCTATACACTTGCCTTCCTGACACCCTCCTTTCTTGGCAAAAGTGTTTTAGAGAATATCTTGAACATATCATTTCATCCCTAGTTGCTCTTCTGAGTGAAATAAGGACATTAAGTTTTTATATGACTACTTAATGGAATATATTTTTGCATATCAATATCTGTTTATAATTAAAAACAACTGTTTGGATAGTATTCTAACTGCTTTCAGTTTTGAAAGTCACATATGACTACTAAAATTTATATTAATCAAAATTAAAAATTGAGTTCTTTCATTACACTAGCTAATTCAGGTGCTCAGTAGCCCCATGTGACTAACATTGGATAGTGCAGATACAGACTCTTCCTGCCAATGCTGAAAATTAGGCTTTGCTTTGGCAATAGTACTCAATGCTTCATACATCATTTTGAAGATAAGCCGGAGAGAAATAGTTATATTTCAAGAAAATATACAAAATGCTCATTTGATGTTTGTCTTTTCTTTCAGATGCATAGAAAAAATAACTGGTAAAGGTAAGATTCTTACCTTATGTGTAAATTGCTCTGATTGTGTTAGAAAAGAGAATAAGCTACAGTCTGATCTTTCAAGTTCTGCGTTTTAAAGGGACTTTCCTTGAATAAAACATTACTGGGTTTGATAGAATCTATTTTGATGATATCAAGCAGATTTGAACAGTAGACTATCTTTGCATTACTTAGAAAATAAGAAGAAACATAATTAAGAGAGAAAAGATGTATACAGAACAAACTAGATGGAGCGTGGTACTGTAGACTTAAAATAACAGATTAAAGAATGCGAAAAGTAAAGATTTCAACCTGGTGAATAATTAAATGAAACCTAGAGTTTTAGCAGACAAAATAATAACATTGAATGTACTTTATTGCTTATTTGGATTGTCAAAAGAAGCTGATCAGGCTTTTTGCGTTTTAAATAGAGCCTTCATTCTGGCTTTGCCAGAATGGTCTATTAAAATTGTCTCCATCATGTTGAGCAGGCTGCACATTTATTACATTTTTCTAGTAATCCGCTGTTCCTTGATGCTAAATTGAAATGCATAACATACTCCTTAAAACCGAAATAATTCATTTATTGTGTATACTCTTGATCCAGTTCTAACATAGCCAATTTCCAACTCTGCAGTTCACTTAATGAAGTCAACCAATGTTAAAGTCCACTTACAGCTTGCTTCTTCCCCTTTCCTCTCCCTTCTCTCCTTCTCCTCTCCCTTCTCTCCTTCTCTACCCTTCTCACTTCTCTGCTCTTCTCTTTAGCCTCCCAAATAGCTGAGATTATAAACTTGTACTACCACATTTTTCTTAGCCTGGTTCTGTTTCATTCTGTGGGTATGTGTATATTTGTATGTTACTTGAATGAAGCTTTTTTCTGTTGTTTTTTTAATAATGCTTTACAGCTAAGTAAGGCAAAATGAAAACTCAGATTTTATGTCATTTAGGAGAATGATAGTATGATTAGAACTGATACTTAAATTGATGGCTGCCCAGGTTTCTTGTTGCTCTGATTCTTAGAATTTAAAACTAATATCTGATATTTTATACCATTAAATTTTTTGTGTAGGGCTGGGAAGGTAGCTCAGTGGTAGAGTGCTTGCCTTGCATGCATGAGGCCCTGGGTTCAATTCCTCAGCACCACATAAGCAAAAAAAAAAAAAAAAAGCCGGAAGTGGCACTGTGGCTCAAGTGGTAGAGCGCTAGCCTTGAGCTGAAGAGCTTGAGGGACAGTGCCCAGGCCCAGAGTTCAGGCCCCATGACCGGACCCCCCCCAAAAAAAAAAATTGTGTAGAAAGCTTAACATAATTATTTTGTTCAAGTGGTTTTATCGCTGTTGTTATTTGGAAAGTGTTACATATGCCAAGAATTATTTTTCTTGTTTGGGGATTATTAAGAAATTTTAGGTTATGAGATAAATGTAAAAATGAAAGAATTAGAGCAGTTTACCCTAGATTGTCTTCAGGGAAACTTGGAGAATGTGATGGAAATTTTGATCCCTTTTTTGGAGAATAAATTAAGTAATTTTTGTGTAGCTGTCCTAAACCAGAATGCTGACATATATAGTTTGTACAACTCTTAGGTGATTAAAACTTCATTCTAGATAATTCACTTCCAAAATCTATCCTACGTTAATCCACTAGCTAATGGTTCTGAGTCTGGATATTCTCAAAATCAAATCCCCATGTCTTCATTAGTTCACCTATTAGAGTAGCTGTTTTAACTCTATATGGTATATAGGTATGTAAGATCTGTATCTAACATATACTGACCGGTCAGCCTTGGTGAGAAAATTTGGGCATTCTCACTTCTATACCTACAGAGGATAAGGAATTCTTAGAAATAAATATAGAAACTTTCAGGTTGTTTAGGTAGTAGTTAAGGCTGGCATCCCCTTCTTTGCCCATTTTGGGTTTCCTGATTAGCAGCACACAACCAATTTCATTATACTCACTAGTTTGACCCCAGTGTTGAAAGTTGTGAAAGACATGGACACCCAAAGCCTTTCCTGTTTTGCTTGACTAGAAAGAAGTCTGCTTTGGTCATTATTTTGCCTGTCTCTATTACCACATCTTACCATGGACTGTCACTGCTTACTTGACTACTGAATAGAGTTATTATAAATGTAATCATATTAGAGCTAAGTGCAGAAATTTCATAACAGATTTAGAAAACTCCTTAAGATTCTTTTCTTCTTAGAACCACTATCAGAGCCAGAACTTGTATTAACCAGGTTCTTCAAAGAGATAGAACCAATAAGATATGAAGAGATATATTTGAAGGGATTGTTTCATGCAGTTGTAGAACTGTCAAGTTAAAAAAAATATATAGGACACTTGGGTTGCTTTCATATTTTGGATGCTCTAAATAATGCTGAAATGAATATGAGATTGCAACTACTTCTGGTACCAGTTGTAGTTCCTTTTGGGTATATACCTAGAAATAGGTATGGTGATTCTATTTTTAGTTTTTTAAGGAAGCTGCATCCATTTTCTAAAAATGCTGTATGAATTTACATTCTCACTAATAATTTTCTCTAAACCCTCATTTACCATTGCTTGGTGTTACCCATTAATAGGTATGAAGCAGTTTGAGTTTAATTTACATTTCCATGATGGTATTCCTTAACTACTGGAAAGTGGTGGATCAATTAGCTAGAAATTAGCCACAGAAAGACGTGCGATTGCATATATATATATATATACATATATATATGGAAAGGGAAGATACTGATCATAGGATATAAAGTTTCAGTTAGACCAAAGAAATCAGTTTTAGTGATCTATTATTCTGTACACAATGACAACAGTAAATAATAATATATCAAATATTTTGGAATTGCTGAAAGGAATGTTTAATACTGATAACCAATTGCAAGATAAAAGAATACCAATGAGGATCTAATTGCAAGGGTCTCTTGCATGGTTACCCATGCATAGGGATGTGATTTCTAGGCATGTTTTTTTAGTCCAGTGTTTTTTAGTGGCAGGGAGAGGAGCATACCTAGAGACCACATACAGAGTTAACACAGGCAGAGGGGAAAAAGTGAGCTTAGCATTCTGAGGGGAAAAAAAAAATATTGGGAGTTTCAACATTCAGAAGCCTTCACCAAAAGCTGACATTTGAGTGGAGTGTTACTATCAGGGCTAGTAGAACTAAGCAGGCTCTGACATAATATTCAGTTGAGGGCAAAGGTGATTAAATGGAGGGGGGAAACTCTTCTCTTTCCCCTACATAGCAAGATAAAGAATTTCTACAAGTGAACTGGTCCATGGAAAAGCTGTTCCCATGGAAGAGTTTGTTGTGTTGTTTGTTTCGTATTTTTGTTGAGATGGTCTTATCCAGGCGAGTCCTGAGTTCACAGTTCTCTTGCCTTTGCTTCCTGACTGTTGCCTATCTATAATGAAGGAAGATAGTTTAACTCGCTCATGAATGTGGGTTGTTTTTTTGTTTTAGAATTTAGTGTAATAAAAATAATTGCATCAAACAATGATGGTTATATGGAATGTCAGGTTGACTTGTTAACAGTTAACTGTTAGCTCAATTGTTAGATCCACTTTCTCAATGACAGCATATGCCCTGTATTTTTGTTATGTAATTTTACAGCTTAATGTTAAAAGGTAGCTTTCTTTTCATAGTGTTTGCCAAGTACCTCCCTGTTCACTACCACCACCATTCCTCACACAAAATACTAAGTACAGCTCTCATCCTAAGTATTTTTCATCTCTTAATTCTTTGTCTTCAATGTTTGCCCTTCCTCAAGCTTTTTGTGTGGCCTATTACTACAGTAAGCCTTTAGCTAGTCCCTAGGCATCTGCCCTGCATAGGTCTGTTCTTCATGTTTTTCCTGCCCTAATCATTTTGATCTTGAGTAAGATCTTACTTTCCAGTATAGTCCTCTCTACTTCTGTGATCTACCTAGCACTTTCTCATCCTTTAGAATATCTATTTAAATATGAACTTCAAGCTAATTGTTACCTAAGAACCGTTATTTCAGCCAACACTGGTTTTATGAGTTTCTGATTCAAAGAGAAAACATCCTTTCACTTTCTCAAAGCCAAAGCAATCTTAAGGGTTTTTAAGAAACAGAACTAATTAGCCTGATGCCTATACCTAGAAAATCATGAAATTTTGCCCTAAACTTTTAATATCTGTAGGAATGTTGTAAAAGTTCAGTTTTCATCCTTTGTTTCCTTTTCTTTCAATATGCCAAGGATTTCTTCTGCCCTGAATAGTAGTAAGCAATAAGAGATAGATACAATAAGAAATGATTTTTTAATCCAAAATAATATATCTATACTATATAAATAATCTTGTTTAATATTGAACTGTTAAAAACAATAGTTTTATGATTGAAGATCTTTTTTCCACCCTATTTAAACATACACATTGGTAAAATTAGAATCCTCCAACTACATCTCAAGGCCTTAGAAAAATTTTATGTGCCTAAGAATGGGATGGATGTGTCCTGTGTTGTAAAGTTTTTGAGAGCTCTCTAACTGTTCCCTTCCATTCCACATGCCTACTAGCATTTCACAAGGGCTTCAGTTTCTCTGCATTCCCTTAGGCATCAGTTTTCCTTTTTTTCACTTAGCACATTAATTGTACAATATAAGGGTTTTATTGTAATATTTCCATATATGCAAATACTTCTAATTTTATAGGTCTTCATTATGATTTTTTGGGGGGGAGGAGGAGTTAGCTCTTACATTTATGCATTAGTTTATTTTAATAATTGGTATAACTTAGTTTCTCTTTCATCAAATTACTGTGATGTATTTTAGGTGTTTCTCTTAGTACTACACTTTTTAGTAGATAAGGCAACAAACCATCTAGGGTAATGACATTAAGGATAAGGGATTTTGTTTTGAAAGTTTTTAATGTTTGATTTTTGCTGTATTAAGAATTGGACCCAGAGCCTAAGTGCCTTTTAGTGACTGTATTTACAATTAGTAGATATTTAGGGGTGATTATTGGTTAACTGTAAACTTGAAAAGAATGACATATATTTTCATACAGATCCCAAAGAAGAGAAAGAAGACAAGTCTATCCTTCCTCAGGAAGTTTCCACTGCTACAACTAGACCTAGCCGGGGCTGGCGCAGTAGTAGTAGGACATCTGTCTCTCGCCTTCGGGACACCGAGAATACCCGAAGCTCTCGGTCCAAGACTGGATCACTGCAGCTCATCTGCAAGTCAGAGCCAATTACAGATCAGCTTGACTATGGTACAGTGCAAGCTGTTATTTGTGTGGTTACTTACTGTCAAGTTTTACATAGTATTGAATATTTTTACTAAATGTCTTAACTTTTCTGCAGGTGATAGTATAGGGAGGATTTCTTTTGAACAGTTTTTACTTCATCTCCTTTTATGTAATTATCTCATGGCTTAAATCTTGGAAACACATATATGCATAAAGTTTTATTTTGGCTTTATTCTAGAAGTTTCAGAAGAACATCAATCTCCTGGTGGCATTAGGTAAGAAATTATATTTTTAAACCTTGAATATTCAGTCACATGAAATAATTCAGAAGTTAAAGGATTTTGAGCTGTAACCGAAACTAACCTCAGTTTGACTATTATACTTAGATCTCCTCTTTGACCCTGATTACAGCTTAAGCTCTCTGAGATTTAGGTACATAGTCTAGAGACCAGGGGTTTTATACCTTCTGTGATTAGGTTTATTATAACCATTTTGGGAATTACTGTGGAATGAAAGGTATTTTGACTAAATTTTGAGAATTTGTCAGTATCCTCTTGTTATTTGTCTCTGTTGATAGGTCTTTTGTGATCTATTAGATTACCAGACATAATATTATATAAATTTGTTTTTTACTTTTTAGTGCCCCACTATCTTTATTTAATAAAGTGATACGATACCTAAGAATTCTGTATTTTCTATTCTAGAAATTATATAGATTAAAACAACTAGTTTATAATCCAACTAGATCATAAGGATGGAAATTTATATAATTTAATGGGAATATTTGGTCACCTCTAAACAAATCACTAAATCTAGGCAGACATGATCCTCGCACCCAGAATTTCTCATTTGTATTTGCTTATTTTTAGTAGTGATGAGGAAGAAGAGGAAGAAGAGATGTTAATCAGTGAAGAGGAAATACCATTCAAAGATGACCCAAGAGATGAGACCTACAAACCCCACTTAGAAAGGTATACCTTAGGTTTAACTATTATTTGTCAAGGAAAATAAGTTGGAAAGCACTTTTGTTGTAGTCAAACTAAATATATATACTAATAATTTTTAAAGGAATGATTATGAACTTGTTTTGCAAATACAATATTTAGTTCTCTCTTCTATTTGTAGAACTTAAATTTGATTATATACAGATTATTAGATGTGTGTGTTTTATCTTTTTAAAGTAACATGATTTGCCCTGATATTTGTATTGTTTTACAACTCTAATGAGATTGGATTATAACTATAATGAGGTTGGATTTTAGGCATTGGGTTTTTAGCCTTGGGGATTCCTTCTATACCTACCATGAATACATCATTACTGTGTACCTGATGGAAAATTACAGTTCATGAACTGAGAATCATAATTTTATGCTAAGTCAGTAATAAACTAAGCTTCAACCTGCTATCACAGACTGCCTTGAAGAAGAAAAATTTTTAGTAGAATAACTGTTGAAATGCATTTGTACTTTCAGGGAAACCCCAAAACCACGGAGGAAATCAGGGAAGGTAAAAGAAGAGAAGGAAAAGAAGGAAATTAAAGTGGAAGTAGAAGTAGAGGTAAAAGAAGAAGAGAATGAAATTAGAGAAGATGAGGAACCTCCTAGGAAGTAAGTAGGCAGTGTTCGTGAAAAATGAAATCTGTTGGAAGCCACTTGTGAAAAAAAGGATGGAAGGCTGAGACTAGAAGGATATGGACATGTATATACTTCAAAATGTGATTTTTTTTTAATTTAAAAGGAAATTTTGCCTTATTAATCAGGTATAAGTTTCACTGGAGAATCTCCTCAAAAGCTTGAAACGTTTGAACTTTTAAGTGAATGCAGTATGTAATTCCGAATGAACAAGTTAGGCAGTAGCAGTAGGGACACAAAGGGAAGAGAAAAAAACTATTAAAATCATGGCAAATAAGGTCATATAAATAAATAAATAAAATAAAAGGATGTGATATTCTTGATTTTATTTTTTTTAAAAAAACAACCTTTTGCTATTAACCACTTTTCATTGTAGAAATAAGATTTAAGTATTAGACTTCTTTGTTTTATTGCAAGGAAAGTAGTTACTTTTTAGGGTTTTTAGATAATAAACTCTCAATCTACTTTTAAGCTGATTGAATTTAGTTGATAAACTTTATAACAACTCTTCAAGTAATAACATTGATATTTATTCAGATCATCATAAGATACAGTTTATGATGGGCTGGGAAGGTGGCTCAGTGGTAGAGTGCTTGTCTTGCATGCCTGAGGCCCTGGGTTGGATTCCTCAGCACCACATAAGCAAAAAGAAAAAAGCTGGAAGTGGTGCTGTGGCTCAAGTGGTAGAGCGCTAGCCTTGAGCTGAAGAGCGGAGGGACGCCGCCCAGGCCCTGAGTTCAGGCCCCATGACCAGACCCCCCCCCCCAAAAAAAAAAAAAGATAGTTTATGAATTCATATATTTCTGTTTCATGCTGGTTTGAAAGTGGCATTACATTACTTCAGAGTAAAGTCTGGCTTATCTATGCTTTTATATATTCTGAGTTTTTATTTTACCTTTGCTTTTATGTATTCTGAGTTATCCTTTGCATCTGATACCTGCCAGCCATCCTCCCATCTAGAATTCAGTAGACTCTTAGTATCCAGTGGAATGTGATTACCAGGAGACTGCCATTGGCAAAAAATTATGAATGTTCAGCATACATAAAGTTCAGTATTCTAATAATCCTCAAAATATACCTTCATCTTGTATATAGAAGAGGGCTAAGCATTGATAATTTGAAACTCCATGGAGTATGTTCTCTTACTGTTACACATATTGATACTGCTTACCAAAATCTCAAATCGTATTTCTTCCTTTTTCTTAAATACAATTGCTTGATTCACTTTCCCATAATACTGCCCAACTTCCACTGAGGACATGGCACCTTCAGCAGATTTAAAATTTTCAATTTGTTGCTTAAATTAAGCACATTACCTGCTGGTTTTGGCTTTAAAGAAATACTGTGATTTTACTTGGGTTTTGGGTACCATTTGTGTTTTGGAGACATACTTTCACAAAATTAATGGTAGGAAAACAATGATGATTTAAATACAGCTGATGATACCTGGGACTAGCTCAGAGCTCTGGATCAACTGAGCTGTGTAATGTATATGAAAGAGTGTTTTCTGTTTTTACCATACTTAGTCAAAACCGCATAAATCTAAGAATAAAGGCTAAATGTATGTAACCAATTTTTTTCTCTTTATAGGAGAGGAAGAAGACGAAAAGATGACAAAAGTCCACGGTTACCAAAAAGAAGGTGAGGAATTTATTTTCCTGGTTTTTGTTGCTGTTTGGTTTGCTTTTGGTTTTGTGCCGGTTCCTGGGGCATGAACTCAAGGCCTGGGTGCTGTTGTTTGTTTTTTGCTTCTTTTATGGTTAATTGGAGATGAGTCTCAGTGGACTTTCCTTCCCAAGCTGGCTTTGAACCATGATCCTCAGATCTTAGCCTCTGAGTAGCTAGGATTTATAGGCATGAGCTACCTGCGCCCAGCTTATTCCTGGGCTTTTGCACCTTGCTTCTGGTGTTGGGTACTTTCCTTGCTTATATAGTTCTCATACTAATCCTGCTGGGATGGCTCATTACAGAATTGCACAAATGTGGTGTTATTAGTGTTCATGTTCATGATGCATAAATGATGGCTTTTTATTTTTATTACAGGATGGTGAACTTTCAAAATTTTAATTTTTCTTGAGGGGGGATTCTTAGTTTATTTGTACCATTTGTACCTGTTGAACATTTGGCAGTTTCTTATTGTCTCTATTACAAATCTCGTGCTATGTAATAGTAAAGAAATTTTAATTCTAATTATAAAATAGCTATTGTTCAGAATACAGAATGCCACTTTTGCTAACTTTTCTCCAAAATTTTGATAATAGAAAAAAACCTCCAATCCAGTATGTTCGTTGTGAGATGGAAGGATGTGGAACTGTTCTTGCTCACCCTCGTTATTTGCAAGTGAGTGGAGATGTAATATAATAGCCATTCAGGTTATATCCCATTATCTGTCTTTATACCTCATGTGAACTGGTGTTTGTATGCTTTATTATTGACATATAACATTAAGTGAAATTTTAAGTATATAATTATTTTAGTAATTCTATCATAGCCCACTTCTTAGAACAAGATCCTTGAGACTATGTAATTTATAAAGAACCAGGAATTTATTACCTTATGGAAATCCAATAACATAATACCACCATCTGGTAAGGGCCTTCTTAAAGGATGACCTCATAGTGTACTGAAAGGCCAAAAATCAAGAAGAGGATGAGGAGGAAAGAAGAAACTGGACCTCATTTTTATAACAACCCTCTCTCCATACTAACAAATTTCATTCATTCATGAAAGCAGAGCATTTAAGCACCTCCTTTAGATGCTACCTCTTAACATATCTAGGGATACACTTAAACCATAGCAGATCATGGTTTCAAAGGAAAAAAAAGTGAAGAAAAAGACTAAATAACCTGAGCCCAAACAGGACTCCCCTCAGAATTGTGGAATTGTGCATATTTCCCAATATGATAAAAATATTAAAGGTGTTAGAAGTAATACACTAAGATACAGAAAAATAGATTTTATTTTAATGTACATTAGAAAAAATGAACAAATACTTTATAGAATGAATAAGAGGTATTTAGGTTTATTTTTCATTTTAAGTGAACTGATTTTTTTTTTTAATGAAGTGGGGATTCTGTTTATATTCAGTTCTAGCAGAAAACATGGACTACTACTCAGGAAATGCCTGTTTGATCTTGAGCAGCAAATAAAATATGAGAGTAAGATTCTCTTATGAATCATAAAATCATGGTTCTGTTACAACAATAACTGCTATTTTGCTGTGTGCCATTTGCCACACTAAACACAGTAAAATATATGATCTCTTTATTCTCATAACAACACTGTGGGACAGTTTACCCCATTTTACAAATAAAAACTGGAACTTGAAATATTTAAATACATCTCCTTAAGATCTCACTGCTAGTGGGACGTTAGAACCTAAATGAACATACTAACCTATCTTTTTAATCTTAAGAATTTTACTCTTCAGTTTCCTCCTCCTACTTGGTTTTCCTTTAGAACTTTTGACTTAGCAAAGAAAAGAACTCTCAAGAAACCTTAATGTTTGTCTTTTTATATTTTGCATAGCACCACATAAAATACCAGCACTTGCTGAAGAAGAAATATGTGTGTCCCCATCCCTCCTGTGGACGACTTTTCAGGCTCCAAAAGCAACTTCTACGGCATGCAAAACATCATACAGGTACCTTTTGTGGTATTTTTGTTTCTGTTTTTAGTAATTTTTGGATTTGAATCCAAAGCATCATATCTGCTAGGCAAATATTCTACTGGTTACTTTTGAAATAGGGACAAGATGTTTTCAATTAACCAAATAAACTATACTTTAGGAATAAGTCTTCTAGAAAAGCCTACCATTAATCAGTTTGAAAAGTATAAAAATGGAATAGAATACATTTCGTTAAACTGGACATGGTGACACACACCAGTAATCCTAGCACTTGGGAAGCTAAAGCCAGAGGATTCTTAAAAGTTTAGGCCAGCCAGGGCTATGTAGTGAAACCTGTCTCAATAAACAACAGAAAGAAATACTCATGTACCTGATCGACTTACACACACACACACATACACATATAATACATTCATAGTTATTTAAAATAAAATTAAGGCAGGCACTGATGGCTCATGCCTAGAATAATAACTACTCAGGCTAAGATCCAAGGATCACAGTTGGAAGCCAGAAAATGAAATGGCACTATAGTACAAGTGGTAGAGTCTAGCCTTAAGGAAAAAGTTCAGGTACAGCGCCCATGCCCCACTACTGACAGAAAAAATTAAAACTCGTTTAGTCTTCATTCATGTGATGTTGATAAATTTTACAAGTGATGATATATGGCTTTTGAACATTCATCTTTTAATTTCTTTTTATAATTTTTATGACAGGATAATGATGACTTACTGAGCATGTATTTTTCTATCAACGGTGAACTGAAAATTTACATATATTTTTGATAATCCATTCAACACCTCTAAGTTACTTGGTTTAGCTTTGATTTATAGTTAAAAAAACAGTAGTACAGGGATGGTAAGGGGAAACAAAGGAGGAGGCAACAATGCTTGATAAGAAATGTACTCATTACCTTGCTCATGTAATTTTATCTCCTCTGTATGGTATTTTCACAATAAAAAACTTATGAATAATCAAAAGTAGTAATAATAATTAATTTACCTGTGATTACCTAACTGATTTTTGACATAACTAGGATTTCTGAATTCTAGTCTAGGCAGATATTTGTAGTAACTCTTGGGAACTGAATGTGGTAAACATTGGGAAGAAAGCCAAAATTGTAAAGGAGGCTCATGTATAATGTATAACCCTTAAGTCGCTCCTGAAACTTGGGCAGTTTTTATAAAGGTAGCTATTAAATTTGTATGCAATAACATGTTCCTACTCCTACAGGAAATAACAAAAAGAGAAGCTCAGTGCAATAATCTGTATTCTAGAATGGACTCAATTCCATACATTTGTAGCGCTGACAATCTCATTGCAGTTCAACTTGAAAGGACAAATTGAGCTAATAATTAGTGGCACATATTACTAACTGGGTATGTCCCAAATACTTGATTACTATGTATGTTACTTTCTCAGTCTTGTTGGATAAGACCAGAGTTGTAGAAATAAGTCCCTGCCCTAACAGGATATTGAGCTACATACTCTGCCCTTCATTTGCTCTATGTGTGAATTAGGTAAGTTACATATCACTTTTCCTTAACTGTAAATTACGGAACATGTGTCTCACAGCGCTACTGAAAGGATAAATTGATAATACCTGGTAATGTTTGTTGTGTTCAGAGCCTGGCACATAGCACCAGGATATGAATTTAGGTCTTAATCACTTGAGTCTCTGCTTTATAGTGTATATCTTGAGAGAGAATTCTAATAATTACTTTTTTTAAATATGTATTCAGTTTTTTTGATGTCAGTAGTTTTTGCCCATAGAAATTGTTTCTGATAGCCAGGTTAATTTATTTTAGCTAAATATCACCAATCTGTTATGAGAAATAGTTCTGTAAGCTCATTCTATTCCATGTTAGTAGTTTCATGGTTTTCTTTTGCAGATTAACATTTATTAACTGTCTTTGCAGATACAATCTATTTAGTAATTGAATGTCTCTCCTAGAGTTTCATACAAGTGGAGAAAACCTCCTTGTCTTAGGACTATGTATTTTTAGACCTTGTTATACATGGTTTGGAGCACAGACCAATCAGCATAGTTATCACTTGGGTTTTTGTTATCCTTAAGAATATTAGAACATAGCCGGGCGCCGGTGGCTCACACCTGTAATCCTAGCTACTCAGGAACCTGAGATCTGAGGATCACAGTTCAAAGCCAGCCCAGGCAGGAAAGTCCATGAGACTCTTATCTCCAATAAACCACTAGAAAACCGGAAGTGGCGCTGTGGCTCAAGCAGTAGAGTGCTTGTCTTGAGCTGAAAAGCGCAGGGATAGCACCCAAGCCCAGAATTCAAGCCCCACAACCGACAAAAAGAAAATAAAGAATATTAGAACATGTGTTTTTTGGGGGGGAGAGGGGCACAAATGGAGGGAGGAAAGGTAAGCAAGTACAGTCATTATATTCAGTGTACATTTTATAAAAATTGAACTGTATAGCTTGAAATTAGGGAAATGAGGGGAGAATGGTGGAAGGGGAGATGTTGATCATCAAGATGTACACTTATAACCTGACTTTTGGAATTGAAACCTCTCTGTACAGCTGTTTAATAAAAAATAAAGGAACAGCAGACTCTCAGACATGGTAAAACAGCATTTAATATGATCCCCATGTGATTCCTTTATATGTTTTTAAGTTTGAGAAAAAAAATACCACACTTAGTTTTAAAAGCTGTTTGGGAAAGCAGATTGAATTGGATATTACCACTTAATTTATATTCATTTTTGCTTTGAATATATTGAGTAATTTTTAAGTGGAATAGAAAATGTGATTATTAATTTAACCAGCATTTATTGAGAACCTGTTAGTCTATTTTCTTTCTAACCAAGTAATAGATAGACAAATAGAATTCTTCTTTGTCCCATTGTTTTACACTATATTACCTTATTCATCAAAAACGGTGTGAGCTGGCCACTGGTGGCTCATGCCTGTAATTCTAGCTACTCAGCAGTCTGAGATCTGAGGATCACGGTTCAAAGCCAACCCGGGTAGGAAAGTCCATGAGACTCTTACTTCCAATAAATCACCAAAAAATAGGGCATGGCATTGTGGCTCAAGTGATAGAGGGCTAGCCTTAAGCTGAAAGCTGAGAGACAGTACTCAGACCCAGAGTTCAAGCCCCATGACCTCCCCCCCCCAAAAAAAAAGTATAGAACTGGGAAAAGAGTGTTATAGAGACAAGAAGATAGTTGAGTGGTGCAGAAGATGTAGGTAGGAGAATACGGTTAAGAAGTGTAAGAAATATATATTTGGGTGAGAAGTTTACATTAGTAACTGTCTTGGTTAACTTTTTTTGATAGTACTAGAGTGTGAACTCAGGGTTTTAGTTGAGCCCTATGCCAAGGGCCCTTTTTTCTTTTAGTTATTTTTTTAGGTAGGGTTTCTCATTTTTGCCTGGAACTGAACTCAGACCAAGATCCTCCTACCTATAGTCTCCCTGTGTGTAGATGGATTACATGCAGGGCATCACCAGAACAGCTGTTTTTGTTTAGATTGGATCTTGTTAACTTATTATTCAAACTGGTTCCAAGCCTCCTTATCTCTGCAATGCTGGGATTACAGGTATGAGTCCAACCCTGACTGAAATAGATTACTATTTTAGCTATGGGTTAGTTTCTTTTTCCAGGAATAAAATAAAAACCAGACAGACTACAGTAGCTTTTGCTTGTGATCCAGTCTCCTTGAGAGGCAAGAATCTAGAGTATTGATTTTCAAGACCAGCCTGATAGCAAAATATTAGTGAGAACCTATCTCAACAAATAAGGTTGGTATGAGGAAGCACATCTAGAATCCCAGCTATCTCAGAAGATAGAAGGGTCTCTGAGACTGGCCTTGGGCAAAAACTCAGTACCATCCAAAAAATAAGGCAAAGAAAGATCAGATGCCTGGTTCATTTGTGGTTATTGTATGGCAAGCACTATGACCTGAGTTCAAACCCAGTACTGCAAAAAAGAAAAAGAATAAAGTCCATGGAAAAATGTAGTTATTTTGTAACCAATTTATTGGATCTGGATTATTAGTAAAACTAGATAAGGATTCCAATTTTCTTATTTATACCTAGGCTTTTGTTTGTTTTTTGAAAGTCACTTAAGTTAGACTAAAAATCAGAACAGAAAAAAATAACTAAATTTTGCTTACCCCAAGTGTTTACATATTGAAAATAGCATTGCTTTTTCTCTAAATTGACCTCCTGATCACCAGATCACTTTGATGAGCTAAGAAAAGTACTCAAGAGTCCAATCAGAATACTAACTACGTTATTTTTCTTCTTAGATCAAAGGGATTATATTTGTGAATATTGTGCTCGGGCCTTCAAGAGTTCCCACAATCTGGCAGTACACCGGATGATTCATACGGGCGAGAAGCCACTACAGTGAGTATTCACTTGCTGGTGAACATCTGGCTGAAAAGTGCACACCTCACTTTCAGCTCTGTTCCTTAGAAACATGTCAGTGCTGTTGACAAAGATTGGATATTGATCAGAGAAGCTACTTAGTGGCTTTTGTCTTACTGCTTTTCAGGCAAACAGAAAAAAATCAGATTTCCATGGCAGTAGTTTCCTAATCCTTCACAAAAAGTAAATGTTACTGATATGTGTCTTTGTGTGTGTGTGAGAGAGAGAAGAAAGAGCGAATAAAAGCAGGGGGAGAGAGAAAGGGGAAGGAGAGGAGTGAGGGTAAAGAGAATGTACAAGCACGTAGGAGGGCTAAGGTCTTACTTGACCCTGGAATAAGAGCTCTTTATTTCTCTTTGATTACCCATTCTCTTTGTTTCTCCTTAGATGTGAGATCTGTGGATTTACTTGTCGACAAAAGGCGTCCCTTAATTGGCACATGAAAAAACACGATGCAGACTCCTTCTACCAGTTTTCTTGCAATATCTGTGGCAAAAAATTTGAGAAGAAGGACAGCGTAGTGGCACACAAAGCAAAAAGCCACCCTGAGGTGCTGATTGCAGAAGCTCTGGCTGCCAATGCAGGCGCCCTCATCACCAGCACAGATATCTTGGGCACTAACCCAGAGTCCCTGGCACAACCTGCAGATAGTCAGGGACTTTCTCTTCTTCCTGAGCCCTTGGGAAACTCAACTGCAGGAGAGTGCCTGCTGCTAGAAGCTGAAGGGATGTCCAAGTCGTACTGCAGTGGGACGGAGCGGGTGAGCCTCATGGCTGATGGGAAGATCTTTGTGGGAAGTGGCAGCGGCGGGGGCACTGAAGGGCTGGTCATGAACTCAGATATACTCGGTGCTACCACAGAGGTTCTGATTGAAGATTCAGACTCTACCGGACCTTAGTGGAAAGGAAGACTTTGGGCACTGGGACAGTTCAGACTTTGTATTTAAAACATAAAAAGGACAAAAAAAAAACAAAACAAAAAACAAACAAAAAAACACCCAACAATTTAAAGCATTTAAAATCTAGTAAAATAACTGAAGGGCCTGCTCTTTCCATTGTGTATCACAGCACATACACCCATCCCCTGGATCTCTCTCTTGTCTCCCCTAAAAATATTGATGTTGCCTTTCCCACAAAGGTAGATGAAAAAGAAGCAATCCTCATATTCAGTTCTGGCCAGTGGCAGACTTCCTACTCATCAACAGATCCCCTTCTCAAACCTGTAACTGATGTGCTCTGGATCAGCTCTTAATTCTTAATAGTATATTACTGTTTTCTAAATCCTTTCTCCTCTACTGCTGCCCTATAGTTCTGGCTTCTCCCCACTGCAACACACATATCCTCAAATAGTATATAATTCTAATCTTTGGAGGCTGGCAGCTTAGCTTGACTTGGCACTTTAGGGCCCCCTTTGCCATATGTGTTGTTAAAACACACATCTGTCTATCCCCTCTTCCTCTTTTCCCCTTAGGTTTGGAAGGAAAAATACATGGGGACCATACCGTCTCTAATCCCAGCACCTCATTCCCCTTCCCCAAGCTCCTTATGGCTCTTCTGGTGCTCACTTGCTTAGAAGCAGGCTCCCAAAAGGAGTAGGCTGCCATCTACAGTCTCTGGCTGTACAGTAGTGCTCTAGATCAGTGAGAAAAGTCCCAGGCTAATGGCAAAAATTTGCACTTTGAACATGTGTGTTTTTTTGTGTTGTGGAACCTGAGATTCCTTATTTATTAATGGAAAGTCTGATTTTTTTGGGGAGGGTCTTTGTCTATATTTGGGGGGCTGGGCGAGATTATTCTGACATGGGATCCTTCCACAAGAGGTACTTTAAAGGCAAAGCATAGGGTTGAAGAAGCACAGCCAGCCTCTGAAATCAGCTCTCCAGTGGCCTTAAAAGATAGCTGGTCCTCCCCACTAACAAAATCACTACAGTAGTCTAGTGCTTTTTTTGGAAGCCTTTATAGGGAACGATGATAGGTTTGTGATAACTAGTATGCTCTTGACATTTTTGCAGAGCACTAAGATTTAGGAATGTTGAGAGGATGAGAAGAGTGTTTTCAGAGTCTGAATTACAGATAGGTTTTCTCTTGTGCATTTACTTCTTTTGTCCCCATCATTTCCTTACATATACCTCCCTACCAGCCTCACTCTGGCCTCATTTTGTTTTCTCTCTTGCTATTCCAGCTCCATATTAGTGGAGGACTCTTGTCATAGTGAAGGAACAAAGTCAGGAATTTCAAAGTTGAAGAGAACTTCTCTGCTTTGTTTTCCTTTTAATAATCCTCAGAAGAGAAAAGGCTTCAATAAACAAAGTTGATGATGTAATGGCTTTGTCGTTAACCTAAGTTATTACTTCTTTAAGTAAGGGATTTCATATGCTATGTATTGTTTATTACTGCCAGTGGGAGACACAGGTAGTTTTTACTTTTATTTTTCTATTGATAACTCAGAAGATGGAAAATTTATTTGGGCTGATTTTTAGAAAATTAAAAGGACAGTTCCTATACTGGAACCTCAGAAGCTAGAACTAAAGGCTTCCCCTATTCATTGTCCATTGTCGCAAGTGTATGATGGCTGTTGGAAAGAATGGAGTTTTCTGAGAACAAAATAAGGAACAGTTTGTCTCCCAAACACTAAAACTACAAAGTTTATCATTTTTTTCTTTATTTTTCCCCTCAAAAGAAGAATAACAAAATGTCATCTCTGAAAGAGGCTTACTGTACACCCACTAGTGTCAGTGGTTGGATGCCAGAGAATAGGGAGTGAGACACCTACAGTGAACAGTTTAAAATATGCCATTGTTGTGGGTTTGGGGTGTATGTGTGTGTGTGTCTAAATGTGTAAGTAAGAACACTGCAGATTTGCCATCCAGTGTGAGAGTCCAAAATGAAATCAGGAGAAAAGGGATGTATTATTCATTTCTTCCCACTTTGGTATTGCTGAGTTGATTTGAAAATATCAGGAGATGGATGTATTGTTTCATTGGCTGGCATCTGTATCATACACTTTTGGGGTTTTGTTGCATTTAGATGTTTATCTCCATAGTTAAGGTTACTGTAGCCAACCACAGGAAAGCAAACTGCATTAAAACAAACGTCTTCTCTTTCTGGGATGGGGGAAGGTAGATTATTCCCTGAAAAAATTCTCATGAAGAACTTTTCCAGCAATGAATTACTGTAGCAGTTTGAGTATTTTTTATGAACTTTATTATGATTTTTTTTTCTCTTGAGAAAGGAGTGCTAGCTTAAGAGGGTTGAATGCAAACTAAGCCCCAACCTTGCTTCTTTTCTGTTCTTTCTACTTCATTGTTCTTCCATGCAACTCATTTACTCTTGAAAATCTATTTCCTACTCTAGTCACCTCCTTGTTACCTTTTTCATTCTTTTAATTCATATTGTTTATCTTGAATTGGCAGTTCTAAATTCTGGGGATATAGGTGATATAACTTCGATATTTTGGGGAGATGTGCTTGCACCTTGTTTATGCTTATCCAAGGTAATTTTCATAATTAGACTTAATATATTTCACAGAGTTTAAACCAACACTGGCCAGGAATCCTTGGGATAAAGAACTATGAAAGTACAAGAAAACATCCATATATAGAGTACTTGAACCTCCTTTGTACCTGTCTAGAGGGGAAAAAATTATTAAATTAACCAATCCAAGTAAGGTGGTTATAGTCTCATTGTTTATAAAGTACCAGTTTTTCCTCCTCCTGTTTTTCCCCATTTTTCAATGTACTCAAGAAAACAGAAAATGTAATAGATCAATCCTATTTCCTGAGAACCTTTTTTTTTTTTTTTTTTTTGCCTGTTGAAATGTGCAGGTCCCTTCTCCTTTGATGGGAGAAATGGGTAGGTAACTGAATCTAGATTGATTGGAAAGGTTATGTAAAAAGAAATTATAATAAAAGGGATACTTTGCTTTTCAAATTCTTGTTTTCTCTTACCCTAGGTCTAAGGTATATCCTAAATAAATATGTAAAGAGAAATAAAAATTATTTCCTGGAAGCCACTTGTCTTCCTTAGTTGTATCGACCTAAGTTATTGTAGTGGTAAAAGAGTTAATGCTGCTTACCAAGTACTCTCAGCTGGCTTTATTGTATGGTATACATTGTTTGCTCTTTGTGGAGAGTCAACCTTTTGACTCAGTTGTTGATTTCCAATGCTGAAATGCCAACACATTCTGTGTTCAGCAATTTTGGAAATGTTTAGATATTTCAGTAAGATGAGTAGCCCTATTCATCTAGTAGAGCAAACCATTAAGGATGCTGTGTGGTGAATTCACTCTTGATAATGACATAACTCAGGCAGCAATTGTTTACAAAAACAATGTCTATCTCAAGTACTCAGGAAAAGTTATACTCAGAAGTGGAGCTGTAGCCCAAGTATTAGAGCATTAGCTTTGAGCAACAAAACTCAGGGACAGAGCCCAGGCCCTGAGTTCAAGCCTGAGGACCAGCACCCTGTCCCGCATCCCCCTTCTACCTTTTAAAAACTGTGACAGCTCCCCAGGCCCTCCTTTCTCCCTTACATCCCTTATTGTTTACAATTTTTTGGTAGCATGGCAGGGATTTCAGGTTCCGGCAGTATAAATGATAGGAAATAGTAAACACCAACTGATCAGTTGAGGATGAAACTCATTATTCTACCATTACTTTCTGAATCAAAGGCAGTAAGGATGACAACTCCCCCATGCACCTATTGAACTCTTTTGTCCTTGTTTCAAAGCCCAGCTTGTTCTGAGTTTAGTTAAGAAGCATTTGATACAATTGGGACAGAGTAGAGAATGAAGCATGTTGTCACTTGAGTGAGACTGCTTGAGAAATATTACCAAGTTAGTGTTGGGTGTATCCTTTGGAAAAGAACAGGCCTAAACAGTGCCTTCTACATCCTGTAAGCTACCAAGAAGGAACCATAATTGACATGAGGGATGCTTCTTTAGTTCAGGTTTCATCATGTATACAATAACTTAAGAAACACCGAAAGGATCAGTGAAAAGATGGTGCATTTTTAAAGGACCTATTTCAGATCATCTTAGGCTTGTACCAAATGTGTCTAAGAAGTTAGAAAGTTGTAGAAAGCTATAGCACAAAACCTATGTATAAATTAGGACCTAGTTTATGGATTTTGTGCATATTACCTAAGCTTAAGTTTCTTACTTAAGTGGGAAAATTCCCACAATCATTGTAATAAGAATCAGGTGAAATTTTCAAAGTTTTATAGCACAGTAATTAGTCTATAGTATATGCTTAATAAGTGGCATCTATACCAGTAACTGTACACTCTACCAGGCTAAAATAAAAGCAAAGACTTGAGGAGCATAAGGGAAGGAATAATAAAATGAACTGATTATATTGTATGTAAAATAGATTACATTAGGCAGGGATGTCATGAGGATTAATGTGGTAATGACCTTGTTGCTAAGTACAAAAAGCAACAGAAATAGTGGGGGGGGGGGAGGGAGGGAACAAGTATGCTGAATACCAAGTGGAGGAGAGAGATAGAGGCAGACAAAAAAAAAAAAGGTTGATTAAAAAGGGCCCTTTGATTCCACAGGCACAAAAATCCACAGCCAGGAATTTGCTGCCACCTCTGAGGCAGGCAGGGGGTGGGGGTGGGGGTGCACAATCCCATTAGAGAATGCCCAGTGGATTTAGTCTGTGAGAGTCACATTTCTTATTTGGGCCAGTGTAGACAGAAGCAAATCCAGCTCACTGGTTTCCAGTTGAGTTAGAGGATGGCATTCACAGAGCATCCACAACTGGCCCTCCATCGCCGGGACCTCTGTAACCGCTCTATCTGGCTAGCAAGGAAGATTCGTGCAGACCTGACTGCTCTCATGGAATCCTATGTAAGTTTTGTGTTAACTTTTGTCTGTTTTTCCTTCATCTCTTCCTACCTAGCTCCTTCCTTTCACATTCCAGCACCATAACCAGTTATGAAAGTCCTCATCTTAAAGTGAGTGATTCATATATGGGCCACCTATTGGATAGGGCCTTTTCCCTTTACTGTCTTCCTTCAGGCTGTTGAAACACGCTGTTCCTTGAACTTACAACATGCGTAGGTAGGATTACTGTATGTCTTAGATGCTATTCGAAATTCGATTGCCTGTATTTTGAGTCCTAGAACACATTAAGCACAGGCCTTCTAAGTTTGGATGCTTCCTAGACATGCTTCTGCATTTTCAAACCATGTAAATGAAAGATAATAGAGTTGGTGTATATATTTTTAGTAGTGCACAACAGAAGTGCCCTGGTGTCTGAGTAGATGTAAAGGCTTGATCTCACTATTGAGAGTGGACAATGAGAGTAGGGAGGTTAAAACATTTCACTAACTGCTACTCTAAGGCCTGTAGGTGTGGCCGGTGTCTCCACTAAAATACTGGCATCAGTATGACTAAAATGTTCCAGTTTCCAGGATAGTTTAAAGTGGGAAAGAATAATTTGAAATCACTAGAATTTCACCCTTTTGAACTTGAGGGAAGCAGTAAATGCTTCCAGGAAAACTGCATAGGCATTCAGTATCGGAGCATGTAGGGCCTTGCTGAAGTCCAGTCACAGGTCCCAAATGAAGACATTTGAGATACTGTATGTTCCTTACAACTTGGGTCCTTGACCAAGTGAAAGAGATGTTATATGTGGCTTCAGTAAGGACACTGGTAGTTACTGAAGATGTTATGTTTGCATATATCTTTGGCCAGATGAAACATCAGGGCCTGAACAAAAACATCAACCTGGACTCAGTGGATGGTGTGCCAACGGCAAGTACTGATCAGTGGAGTGAGCTGACCGTAGCAGAGAGACTCCAAGATAACCTCCAAGCTTACCGTACCTTCCATGGTATGCTGGCCAAGGTTTTGGAAGACCAGAAGATACATTTTACCCCAACTGAAGGTGACTTCCATGAAGCAATACATACCCTGCTCCTCCAGGTTTCTGCCTTTGCCTATCAGCTAGAGGAGTTAATGGTGCTCCTTGAGCACAAGATCCCCCCAAATGATGGGATTCCTGTCACTGTTGGAGATGGCCTCTTTGAGAAGAAGCTGTGGGGCCTGAAGGTGCTTCAAGAGCTTTCACAGTGGACAGTGAGGTCCATTCATGACCTGCGTGTTGTTTCTTCTCATCAGATGGGAATTCCAGCGCATGAGAACCGCTATGTGGCTAAGGACAAGAAAATGTAGCAGCTTTCTCCCTTTCTTTCTGCTCTAAGGAAATACACATCGTTTTCTGGCGTTCATTTTCTCATCTGCAAGTTTTAAGATGACTACAAGTATTTTCATCACGTAGGGATGGAGACCTAGACAAATAGACATAAAGCTTAATCCGGTATATATGAGCATGTGTTGAGCATGAGGAACTGGCTACAAAAACATCAGCTTGGTACTGTAACCCTTCTCATTAAGCACCTTTGTTAACCATGTAACAGCCTTACAGACAAGAGGTAAACATTCTAACTGTAGTTTTGGATGACTTCTGAGAAGACTGAACCACTAAGTTGAAAATCATGGACTCTAGCCATTCAAATTCTTATGATAATAAAAATAATAGCTAACATTTATTGAGTATCTGCTATATTAAGGCGTTGTGCCAGAGGCGTTCTGGGTATTACGGCTTTTATAACAACTTTGTACTGGTGGTAATGTTACTCCCCTTGGGAAAAGGAGAAAATAGGCTCATGGAGACTTGATTAAAGTTACACAGCAGCAAATGGTTTGAATCCAAGTCCTTGCTTTAAGCCTGTGGCCCACCAATTGACAAGGATGATTGTGAACCCTATTATTGTGTCTATTTGCATCAAAAGGTTGGAAGATTATCCACTACAGTCCCCATTATATGTCCTAATACGTCCAGCAGCAAACAACTGTTAAAAACATTATTTGATGGGGCACTAGTAGCTCACACCTCTAAGCCTAGCTACTTAGGCGGCTGAAATCTGAGGATCATGGTTCAAAGCCAGCCTGATCAGGAAAGTCCATGAGATTTATCTCCAATTAACCACTTAAAAGCCACCTAAAGTGGAGCTGGGCTCAATATGATAGAGTGCTAGCCTTGAGCATAAAATCTCAGAGACAGCATCCAGGCCCTGAGTTCAAGCCCTATAACAGACCCCCCCCCCAAAAAAAAATGTTGTTCATACCTGGCAAAGAACATAGTACCTGCATTTAGAAGATAAGACCCATCAAACTTTCAAATCTTGGAAGCTGGGAAAGTACAGTAATGCAACGTGGCCTCGGTGTATACTAATGTATTTAAAATATTGTGTTGAGCATGGTTTTGATCAGGTGACCTCACATTTACCATAATCAGTAAATTTACATTCAGTGGTAGAGACACTGACTAACACATTCAAGGATGGCCATGAGTGGAATACTACTCAGATTAAAAGTCACAGATCTCTTTATCACCTCACATTCTCTGGGTTTAGTCATGAGGAGAGGGTGAGGCTACACTGGTCCAGCTGGCACAGCCAGAGATTTTGAAACAATATGCAGTAAAGCCTCTGTCCTGCACACTCAACTGCAAGTAAGGTGCTCCAAGAACCACACATAGCTTGGAAGGTCAGGAAATGTGGATTTCCCTAAGGCCAAAACGTCGCTTAGTTTACACTTACCTTTCATTAAAACTCAAGATCTTAGAGGGCCTACTTCAGAGTTGAATGAAGGCACTTTGAGTAAATGAGCCGTGAGTCACAGAGAGCCAAGTCCCACAGGTCGTATGAGGTGGGGATAGATAACATGACTGAAATTCCTGTAGTAGGTCATATCCAGGACTAGAGTCGCTGTTAGAACAGAACTGAGATGAATTGAGATGAGGTACTGCTTCCTGGGATGCTAGGATGCAGTTGTGAGATTTGGTTGCATAAGAGGTCAGCTGTGGGTTGGAATCATAAAGTTGGGGTGTTGATACTTAAGAGATAATAAGGGCAAGAAAGAGTTTTGAGAGAGATGGGAGTTATATGTGAGAAGTTGGCTGAGTACAGAATAGAGGGAAAAGGTACATGATAAGCATGTGGGCCAGCTACCATTAGAAGTGTACTATTTCATTTTTCAGTTTTGGAACAAATACATACTTTCCCATTAATCATTTAAGAGGCCTATTTTACTCATACTTGTCTGATTTATATTGTTTCTTCTGCTTCACAGCAGTATTTTGTTCATTAATCAGAGATATCTGATTATTAATGTAAATAAAGTTCTTTGATTTATTAGGATAGTTCTGGTGTTCAACGGAGAAAGCTAGAACTGATTATAAACTCGCTGGACCTGAATTGAGTGACCCCCAGTCCAGTGTCTAAATATTCCACAAATGTGGCAGCTCGAACACCTGTAGAAGTTTCAGAACTCAGTAGAGCCTGCTGTGAGCTTTGTTCAGCTGTATTTGAAGGCATATTCATGCATATGAGACAGATTTAAGGCAGAAGCAGGAAATAGTACAAGCTCACTGAAGCAGCTAGTGCTAACACTGCTAAGAGATGTATGCTAGTTTCTCCTTCAAGAAAGTAGCCATGTGCCTCAAAGTGGGAACTTAGACAAAGATAAAGGCAAAATGGTCATTTAGCCAGATAGCAAAAACACCAACACATGTCAGACCTGAATGTGCAGACACTGCATGGTATTTTCCTGAAATGGACACACTGAATGAGAGACTGACAATGGGTCAGTGTTTAGCTATCTATCCTGGTATGAATATGGTAATAGCAACACCACAGAAGTATATAACCTTGCTTGTACTTTGATGTTCTGCTTTTTTGAAGGCTAGAGATGGAACCCAGGCATTCACTTTATTTTGTTTTGTTCATTCTTCATTTGTTTGTGGTACTGGAGTTGTATCTCAGGACCTCACACATGCTAGGCAAATACTCTGCCACCTGAGCTATATCCCCAGCCTTTGGAAGTATATAAGTTTTAAGGGGACTGGGAGGGCGGCTCAGTGGTAGAGCACTTGCCTTGCATGCATGAGGCCCTGGGTTCGATTCCTCAGCACCACATAAGCAAAAAGAAAAAAAGCCAGAAGTGGCGCTGTGGCTCAAGTGGTAGAGTTGAAGAGCTGAGGAACAGCGCCCAGGCCCAGAGTTCAGGCCCCACCACCAGACCAAATAAATAAATAAGTTTTAAGGATCCATGATCCAAAAGAGATATTTGTTCTTTAATTTTTTTTCTTTTTGTATTTAGGTCTCCCATGGATAGAACATACAGGGAAATGATCTATTACAGAGTTGTAAGAAGGTGCTTAAAGTTAAATGCCCAGCCTTTACCTTTACTTTGTTTTTTAAAAATGAATACTTTTATCCCATAGCTTCCAGGAAAGGCCTTTCTGATCTGTATAACTAATACAAGCTAATTTTTTTTAACTTATTTTAAAAACTTCTCTCTACAGGAAGAGAGGTTCAGTTTTCTCAACTCTATCAAAGCATTGCATGGATGAGAGGTGAGAAACTTGTTTTGTTGGGTTTTTTTTTGTCTTTATAAGATGATTTGGAAAAGGCTTGCAAGTTAGTACAAATGTGAAGGGCAAGAATGGAAATTGAATTCGCTCCTAAGGTAATCAGGATTGAGGGAAGTCAGGGTTTTAGTGAAAATGGAAAGTGTAAAGTCATTGCCCTGGTATGGCTGTTATTTCAGACTGCCGTGGATCAAAGCCCAGAGGATGACTCACCGTTATGACCACTGGTCAAATAGAAAAGACAAGTGAATATTTCAGGGAGACACATGCAGGTTTAGAATAACTTGTCTGTGAATCCTCAGCTCCTTCTTGAACACTGAAGTCTCATCTCATACTTACGGAGTAAAATAATACTGCAAGAGCTGAGAGAGGTCAACCTGCCTGGCCAAGGGACCAGTAGAGAGGAAATAAGGAAGCAGAATGGGGATTTTGATTGATATACTGGAGGATGTCTATGTCGTGTTTAAGCCTAGGCAATTTTTTCAAAAAAAGAATTTGGCCTCCTGCCTTGTCCCACCCTCCACCTCGAGTGTCAGACCTAAGAATGAACCCTCTGACTCTTGGTGAATTTACAAACCAAAAAGTGATCTAACAAAAACTTGGAGCCGGGCAGCAGTGGCTCATGCCTGGAATCCTAGCTACTAAGGAGGCTGATAATCTGAGGATTGTGGTTCAAAGCCAGCCTGGGCAGAAAAGTCTATGAGACTCTTATCTCCAGTAAACCACTAGAAAACCGGAAGTGGCACTGTGGCTCAAGTGGTAGAGCACTCACCTTGAGCTGAAGAGCTGAAGGACAATGCCCAGGCCCAGAGTTCAAGCCCATGACTGAGAACAACAACAACAACAAAAAAAAATTGATCTCAGCACACAAGTGTTTAAATAGGGTAGTAAAGACTAAAACTACAAAGATTAAAAAAAGAATTTAATCTTTTCATCTTTTGATGAAATGTGTGAGGCATGAACATCTAAGGGCTTGAAATTCTTAAAATATATTTTTTTAACTGTTTTGGACACCTAGAAAAAGATCCAAAATGGCTAACAAAGTTTTCAGCAAGACCACAAATGGCTTCCTTTGTTTTTGTGTCTCTGGATGAGCAGGGGGAATTTCAAGTGATTTCAGCAATTGGATGAAATGTAATCTCCCTAAGCCAGGACCAGGCTCAATCAAGCATGCTAGGTAAATCTCTCTGATGCCAGGCCACTGGGCAAAACTCCTAGGATCCATCTAGAAAATGTTGACTGCTTTGCCCTCTGTGTATATAAGCCCTGCTAACTACCTGCAAGTGAGGATAATTTCTAGTTAGTTTGGAGGTAGAAATGAAGTCATGGAAAATCATTCATGAAAAATATGAAAACATACTAGGAGAGTTTATACTTCTACCCATACATTTAAGGTAGTATGAAAGAGAATAATGGATTTACATACTTAGCCTGTCAGACGAATCCATACCATTATAGATCACTAATCCTTTGAGATTTTATCTCTTCTACAGATGAGCGAAGTGGCATGAACATTAGTTTGTCAAATTCATTACTCTAGCCTGTGACAGTTTCAATTCTGTCCTCAAAACACTTTAGAACACCCATATCGTGGGCATACTGTGAACACCCAATAATCAACATTATCTTATCCTGAAATCCATTCTCCATCTCTGTAATTCACATTCCTTCAACAAACTAGTACAGACTTGTGCCAAACCTTTCTTCTAGCCAAACATATAAACTTCCAAATGAAGAAAACCCACTTTTCCTAAGCTTCCTTGTTTATGAAATAGAAATTATAACAACTAACTTTACAGGGTTGTGATAGGCTAGACACATCAAATATATAAAAATACTTGTAAATCATGCAAACAGCAAGAACATCAAATGTCTCAAGGTAAGTTAGATTCATGCTAGTCTCTGGATTGAGTAGCAAGCCATGTAATATTTTATTTCCAAGCCTAGACCTCACTCTGTAGGACTTTGGCCACAAAAGGCCAACTTAAGTCTTACAACCTCCAGGAATAATCCATCTTTGTGGAGAGTAGAGGCCCTGGTTGCTGTTCACTGCACCCAGATGATGGCTTGCACAGCTGACAGAGTCAGACAAGTCCTAGAGAAACCTAGCA